CCTTCCTTCCTTCCTTCCTTCCTTCCTTCCTTCCTTCCTTCCTTCCCTCCCCACCCCCAATTTAATGTAGTGGAGGGGCTCCTCTGAAGCTATTTTAATGCTTCTGTTGAGAATTAATTAGCTTTATTAACATCAAGATGTCTGGGTACTTTATTTTTTTTACATTTATTCCTTAGAATTCTTTTGTAATGAAAAGATGTGCCGTTCTCTCCCCACCCCCACCCCTGCTGTTTATTAATTATATCAGTATGAACTTGGATATTTATTTTAGTCTATGGGTTAAGATCCAGTTATCATTGTTTTGTTTGTTCACATTGTTCTACATTTGACCATTAGGAACTTCTTTGAGTACACACCTGACCCTGAATTCTTTCAAGAAATCACCATATTTTTGTTTGAATATTTTTAACTCCACAAAATGTTACAGGCTTATCTTATATTTTTCCTGCTCCAGCCTTAAGATCATCAGTCACTTCTCCAGGGAGCCCTTATTCCTTTTATTGGAGAAAGTTGTTTAAAAACCACCATTTCTCATGTGGGTGTGGGTATTGCCATTGTGGTGTCATTGCTAGAAACCCTTCCTCAGTAGTTAGAGCTAGGAAATTATGTATACTAACCACTGCATGTGTTTACATATTTGTCTGTTTCTGTATGTTAAAAAACATACAAGTTTATACTGACACTTCGATTCTAACGCCACAGGATTTGTTCCAGTTTTTCCTTATTTGTGACTTTTTTCTCCCAACAGTGAGAAACCTGCCTTTTACTATCTACAAGGTATTTGCCTATTTTTTATTTATTTTTTTAAGGCAATTTTTAAAGTTTGTTTATTTTGAGAGAGAGAGCATGTGTATATCCTTGGGGGGTGGGGAGGAGCAGAGAGAGGCAGAGAATCCCAAGCAGGCTCCACGCTGTCAAGTGCAGAGCCCAATGTGGGGCTCTATCCTGTGAACCATGAGAACCTGTGAACCTGAGCCGAAATTGACTCGGATGCTTAACCGACTTAGCTACCCAGGCGATCCCCATCCATCCTCTCTCTCCCTTTCTCTCTGCCCTTCTCCCCACCCCGCCCCACCAGGCATGTGTGGACGTGCACATTCTCATATTCTCTCTCTCTTTCTCAAGATAAATAAACTTAAAAAAAATTTATGCACATAAAAGTAGTTTCAGAGTGCTAATTCTTATTCCCAGGAGAAACATTCATTAACTACATTGCACTATTTATGTTATTTTTTTTCTTTAGCTATTAGTCAAGAAACTTCTCCAAAGTTGTTAGTTTTTTTTCTTTCTCACTCCCCTCACTGTTTGTTATTCATTTGTAATATGAATATTACAAATGTTACAGATATTAGGTTCATTTGTTACTGTTTGTGTTCCAGTTTGGATTCTCCACATCCTTGTTGGTGTTAATGATTTAACTTGGTGGTATGTGAGGGGTATGTGAACTTTAATGTGGTTCTGACAGTCACAACTACATAAAAAGGTAAACATGGAGAAGTGTCACACCTTCTTGCCTGCTACCCTGCTTCCATTCCCATCTTGCTATCACTTCGCCACCTACCCACTGCACATACCAGTCTCTCTATTTTCTCATTCCATTGCACTTTTTTCCTCTCAGTTAATAGTATGCTCTGGTAATCACTGTATGTCAGTTTATAGAGATCTTCCTCTTTTTTTTTTTTTTAAACAGATTTTGTATTCTCTTAGGTAGTTGTAATGTGGTTTATTCAGCACTTTCTTTGGGCATTATTCCTGGTATTTTGCAATTACAAACAACGATGCAATGAGCAAGTTCAGTGTATGTGTATCTTTGTGCATTGAAGGGGTATCTTCAAGGTAGATTCCTAGAAGTAGGATTGATGGGCCATGTGCATAATTACTCTATGACTTCTTTTAAACAGTGTAAAGTCTGTTTTTGAATGTATTCTCATATTAAGGACATGGTTTTAACATGTATGTTTGCATATCTACATTCATTGATGATTCTTTGATAATAACTCTGTGACCTTTAGTATCCTAAAGGGACTTCAAAAAGTAAAAAATATTAAGTATAGTGATCATGTTCATTTTGCTATATTTTTATTTATTATACTTTTTGGGGAAATTGGTCATGCATGTGATTTATAAGAGCTTTCCATTCATTGGAATATTTCCAAATTTTATTTTTTTTAATTTAAAAAATGTTTTTATTTTAGTGTGTACAGGGGAGAGGGGCAGAAAGAGAGAAAGAGAGAATCTTAAGCAGGCTCCATGCTCAGCAAGGAGCCCGATGCAGGGCTCAATCCCACGACCCTGGGACCATGACCTGAGCCGAAATCAAGAGTTGGACACTCAACTTGACTGAGCCACCCAGGTGGCCCTGGAATATGTCCACATTTTTGAAGTGCATATACCTCATTGTATTAGATTTATTTTTCTCTTCGAAGGAACAACTT